ATTTTATATTCTTTTGAATTTAAGTAATTAAATCTTAAATATTAATAAATAAATATAAACTTAAAATATTTTAAATACATTTTATTCATATCCATATTAAATAATTGAATTATTTCAATTAAGGTATATTGAAAATTAAATTTTGGAAAGCAAATATAAAAGTATGTAGAGAGAAAATACAGAAATATATATTATTTAAGATTTTGGAAAGTAAATCTAAAAATTTAGAGAGAGACATGACAAGAGAGAGATTTATGGCATTAATTAATTAAGGGTATTTTAATCATTTCATTTTATACATCATTATTTAGGAATGTACTAAATAAAAAGTTGAGATGAGTTTTATCAAATATAAATGGTTAATAAAAATTATTTTACATTAGTCACTACAATGCTAACTAACTGTAAACAAACCTCAGTTTATTCACCCATGTGTTCAATGCTTTGCAATTATGTGGCCAACAACTGAATTGATTTAGGAATCAAAGTAATCCTTGGAAAATGTATATTTGATTTAGCCTATAAGATTGAGTAACCTATACTTGATTTAATTGCATGAATAATTAAATGCCAAATTGGAATCTAAATCTAACAAATCTAGTTAATTTCGAATTATACAGGAACATAATAATTTAATTTAATTGGGTATTTTAATAACATTTCGTAAGAAAATTATAAATAATTTAGAATTTTGAGTTAACAATTTTAGCTTGTTTATAAATCAGAAAAAAAATAAAAGAATTGCAAATGAAGTGTTAAGAGAAATTGAAAACCCTAGACTCTCTCCATTGACTTTTCTAAAAATTTGTGAATTGAGTTGGAATTATTTTTTTAGCTTAATTTATTTTTAATTTATTAATCTTTAACTTTAATTGAATATTTGGATAGAATTGAATTTTGTTAATTTTAGTACTTAGTGATTAATTTTATACTAATTCCTTATGGGAACAATGCTTTATTTATCAATATTGCTTGTCACGATACGTATACTTACGTGTTGGAAAATTAAGCAACAAGTTTCTGGCATCATTGCCAAAGAATTAATTCAGAATTTTTCATTAATATTAATACCAAGCAAAGTCAATTCTAATTCAAATTCCTATTTTTTCTCCCAAGTTCTATAGCCAGCGCATGCACTCAAAGAGGATTCCTAAACTTGTTCCTCACGATCCAAAAATCAAAAGACCTACAAGGAGACTACACATAGAAGATTCTACACCAAATAGAACAATGATTGAGAATTAGATTCTACTTTGGCATGTCTTGAACAATGCTTAGATCATCTTGAGTACAGCGTCCACCATCTCCATGATTGCTTAAACCATTTTGAGAGGTGTTTTTACCAACTCAATCCTTTTATGGCACATAAGATGGAGTGTCATGAGGCGTTGAAGATGGTTGGATGTCTTAGCTGTTTCATTGCCAGTGCTAACCTTCAGTCCATGTATTGACTCCGATGAGAATTTTTTATTCTTAATTAAGTAAGAATTGAATAGAATTGGATTGTTAGAGTGCTTAGAAAGAAAATTAGGGTTAAATTTTTATATAAATGATATCCTTTTTATCACTATGTTGCTTAAAAACTATACATATATTTGCATACTGAAATTGAGCAACAAGTGGCATAGTGAAAAGGGCCTACTCACAATTCTTATAAGGACAACTTTTTCCTCTTAATTATGAAATTGCCTTTCTCTTCATTATGAACACAAAAATTAATATATTTGCATCTTCTTGAAATCCTAACCCTAAGAAGAGTTGGTAATCTTAAAAAAAAAAATATTTTCCTCTTTTATATATTATTTTTTTGGGCCAAAACCTTACACATGACTTACGAGCTAAAATGGTAATTATCCATCCGAAGTCCAAACCGAATTAATCTAACAAAAGCACGATTTTCAGGTTCAAATGGGAGCTAGCCTGCGACAAGGTAAGTATATGAAAAAAACAAAAAGAAAATCCTTAAAACCATAATTTTATTCTCAATAAAAGCAACAAAAAATATACATGTATAAATTGAATTAAAATTAAGTGTTATAACACATTTTATTAAAAAGGGATACAACGCTAATGCCATAAGCTGTTATAGGAAGAGGAGAATGGCTGAAGGGGATTCTTTGGTAAATCACTTACATTCAAATGTTAAGTATAGGGAGTATATATAGGTGTACAATATGATATTTAGACTCTTGTATCATGAACTATACTAATTACCTATACATAAATCATAATAAATACTAAATTTATGCACTTTCCTCTATAAAGCACATACACACACAATAAACTTAACCATTTAAAACTCCCAAAAGACACATACATCTAATCATAATACATGTTCTAAAAAAATTCAAATTATTTATTTTTCAGCACTTTCCCTTTATTTGAAATTTTCTTATTTAGTCTAAGTCTTGATCTTAATTTTTGAAAAACTTCAAACTTAAGTGATTTTGTAAGAATATCCACAATTTGGTCATGAGGCTTCACATATTTGAGCTCTACTTCCTTTTTGGCAATACTTTCTCTAATAAAATGATACCTTGTATCTTACTTTCTTATTGAGTTGTACAAACTTAAACACACATGTGATTGCTTACTCTATTATCCACCTACCACAAACTATTGTCATTCTAGTCTTCCCCCTTAAGTGTGAGCAACAAAGTTATCTCTTCTCTTCTTTCTCATCTCAATAAGATTGGCCTTTTCTTCAACTTCCCCCTTAAGTGTGAGCAACAAAGTTTATGACAATTATAGCACTCAATGTAAGACTGTCATACCTTCTTTCCTTGGTTTTGGGAAGTTGCTGAAGTGACTCTTCTCGTCTCCTCTTGATCTCGGCTTCACAAGCTTGTAAAGAATCTTCCAATTGCTCAATAATAATGAAATCCAAATCTTTTGACTCTTCAAAGACACACCATATAATCAAATTTGGGTGTCAATGACTGAAGAATTTTTCAACCACACAAACATCTTCTATTTTATCTCTACACCTCTTGACTTGATTCACAATGGCCTTCACCCTTGAGCAAGAATCCAAATTGGATTCGGTTTCCTTCATTTTCAAAACTTCAAAATCATCTCTTAGAAATTGAAGCCTAACCTTTTTTTACTTTGTCCACTCCTTAGAAAGAATTTTGTAAAACCTTCCAAGCTTCTTTTGAGGTGGTTGCATCAGCTACCTTTTCAAACATGGTATCATCCAAACATTGATAGACGAGAGTGAGGACTTGTTAATCCTTCTTTTTAATCTTTGATAAAGCCTTCTTCTCATTTTGTGTCAAATTTTCTTCACTGGTAGGCTTTTCATAATCCTTCTCTACAATCTTCCACACATCTTGTGAGCCTAGTATGGCTTTCATATGAAAACACCAACTCTCATAATTTTCTTTGGTGAGATGAAAAAATTGGAAAGCAATAGTTCTACTACTTGCCATCTTTCTAATTTTCTCTCTCAACACTCTTTTAATTTTAAAAAATTTGACTCTGGTACCACTTTTTTGTAGAAAGAGGAGTGTGGGAGAAGAGATTTCTTTTGCAACTCACATTCAAATGTTAAGTACAAGTGATATATATAGGTGTATAATATAATCTTAGACTCTTGTTATATAACCCATACTGTTTACTTACATATGAATCATAATAAATACTAAGTTCACGCAATTTTCTATACAAATCACATACACAATAAACTAAATCATTTAGAACTCCCAAAAGATACAAGCATCTAGTCATAATACAAATTCTAGAAAAATTCAAATCATTTATTTTTCAACATAACATATGTGTCTACCTTTCATTGGGCAGAAGAGATGGTAGTGACAAAAACGGAGGGGGAGGTTAAGCAGTCCTCCTTCTGAATGAAGAGACAATATCACGAGGACTTATAAGGAGACGATTCAATGCTTCAAGGTTGCGGACGAACGGTACCCCGAATAGGGTCAACAATGTCGAGCCATAATAAAGGGAGATAGAGCCCATGACCAAAACAACACAATGGAGCCAACCAAGGTTGCTCACCACAAGAGAGACTCCCACCGTGAACGATATAGAGATCAATAGGAAAGATAGCCCAAGTAATGGCATTGCCACACAGACGAAAGATTCCATTAGATATTCCTCGGTCACTTGCGCCCACATAAGTGCAACGAGAGCCAGCATGCAGCTGTTAAAGGCCGCCGTATTGCTGATCACAAATGTCTGGAATGCTGCCCTTTTTACCAAAACTGCCATACCCCTAGGAGTGGAATCAGAGCCGTTAAATCCACCAGGCACGGCGAAACCAGCTGAAAATGCCACTGTCATAACAAGTGTTGCCACCACCGTGAAAAAGTTGATGCTTTTCTTGCAAGCATCAACACTTATTCCATCCCGTAGGTAGCAATTAGATCCTTGCTTCCTCGTGCATTTGCACGTTTCAATGCAATCCACGTTAGCCACTGCAAACAATTTAAGGGAGAGAGAAGGAGAGTTTAAAAGAATTGATAGGAAAGTGTTTCTCTAATAACTCATGTTATGGAATCACAAACTACAATGGGACCAACATTATCAAACACAACTAAGGGGTAGTTTCGTACATTTTGTTGGAAAGGCTTGAAGTTGTGATGTATTTGTTTTAATCACACATCATCATACGCATATTATATTATGCATCTAATGGCTAATGCTGTCACATGGTGTATTATATATGTTTGATGAGCTGGGTTGAGATCATAAGATCTAGGGTAGTTTTCTCTCAACTAAAATGGTGATTATATCAATAAAAGTATAAATATCTCACGTATAACACCATAAAAAACATTACATGCATTATGGAATTAAGCGTTGTTGCTTCAAAGACAAAACTATTTTGCCCAAGTATAATGAATATAGGAAAATTAAAGGTAAATGACGAGGAAAATAGTGAATTTGATTATATTGCTATTTTCTTGCTACAACTGTGCGCCTTAATTTATGTGTAACGTGTGATTATACTAGTTTATTATTAAGTAAATACGCAACGGTTCTTATAGTTCCGCCTGCGCGAGCGCACACTTTAGAAAACAAAAAACAAATCTCATTAACAGAAGCTCTGAAAGAGAAAAAAATCCACTGGTAAGGGAAAATAGCGGAAAAAACACTCAAAGCTAAAACATCAGCTTACATCCAAAGCAAAGAAAACCAACTGATCACAAAATCATTGCTTAGTCAAGGTTTCCCAGTTGTCAGCTTGAAAGTCGTTTCCAAAATCAAAAGCATTTTTTTCAGATAAATAAAAGCATAATTAATATCAGCCAAATGAAAGAACATTAGAATTGTTTTCAATTCTTGGTCAAATTGGCTTATAATATCAAATTTCAGTTAGTGTAGATTTGTTAAGATTATGAATACATTAATGCAATTTCTAAGTATTATAGATAAAGATTAAAAAATGTTGTTTTGAAAATGAGAATGAATTGAACGAAAGATCTAACCACATGCATTGCTGAATTATGTACTGGCTGCAACTGTGTACATGTATTCAATTTCAAGTATATTCTATTTGAATATTCTTTAATACGTTATCTTATTCTCAACCTGTTTTATTTCATTATACGATCTTGAGACTCATAACTTTTTTTTTTTTTTTAAATAAGAAGTCCGAGAATGGGAATAGACTAAACCTGTCGAACAGATGGGGAATCAGCATTGGAGGACCTCTGTGCAGCATCCACGACTGTGTGGCCTTTATTATCCTCTAGGTCTAAAAGAACTCTTTTGTCCCGTGTGAGTATTTCTACAACCTTAAAACAAGCAGCAGTGGTGGCCAAATGTAGTGGGGTATTTCCTAATTGATCCGTTTCATTGATAAGCATCTCAAGATGCGGCACTTGGAGAATAAACATAACAACGTTAGCTCTGCCACTCTCGGCGGCCATATGAAGGATGTTTTGACAGGACCAGTTGAGTAGCTCTCCTGAATCAGGGCAAAGTCGTAGAAACTCTCTGATGACTTTTACGTGGCCTTTCCTGGCTGCCCTGTGAATGGGACAGCAACCTAATGGGCCTCTGTCATATGCGTGATTAGGAAATTTCTGTACTATGAAGCGAACCCCATCAAGATAGCCTATGCTTGCTGCAGTGGAAAGAGGTGTCCCATCTTTCTCATCGTGTCTTTCAAAAAGAGATTGTTCGTATTTGTATGCTATTTCCAGAAGGCCTGCAAAAATTTGAAAGGAAAGATAGAGATAGATTATTTAAAATAAAAAAGATAATCTCAAAGGAAATTTTGAAATAAAAATAAAAAAGGCTACTGGAAGCTAAGCCTAACAATGTCCTGAACCAACAAATTGGTAATTTCCTTTTCTTATTTTTTTATTGTAATATTTTTTTCCTTTTTAAAGTTCATCAATTAAGATTGTTTGAAAAACAAAATTCAAATTTTTAGTATTTTGAAACTCTTTGTAAAAATAATAATATTTCAAAAATGAATAATAATTACCCATCTACAGCCCTCTAGTACAGACATATAGCACAAACTGTATAAATGGGTGTATATGGCCTATTCACGCTCTATGAATTAACCTGGACAGGAACAAAATCATTGGTTCCAATTCAATTTAACCAAAAAAAGTTTAAATATTATAAATACTTTTGGATTATTGAATATTTTTCAAATATTATAAATAGTTTTCAATACTAAATACAGAAAATAAAAAATAATGAATAAATGATTTAAACTTAATTGTGCATCAATTAAGCTCCATACGTATTATCTTTGAATTTAAAGCAAAAATTCATGTAATTTTCTTATCTTAATTAATGTATCCCTTAATTTTTACACTAATTTTTGCTATCTCCCATTCCAATTGTCTAATTTTCAAGTGATATCTATATAAAAGCAAAGAATGTCAGGTCAATAACATTTTTATATCTACACCGACTTTAAATTATATTATGAAATAAATAAAAATTAGTTTAGTAACCCAATCATATTATAAGTAAACATTGTTATAAATCAATTAAATAAAAATTAGTACATAACAAAAGAAAAGGCAATATTAGAAACAAATAATAAAAATCGTATGAAAACAAATATAAATTTGAACTTTGCTTAATAAAATTTCACTTGAAACTATCAATTAACTTAATTAAAAAAATGTACCATCAGTTTATGAGTTTAATTAAACTATTTGCAATATAAATAATTTAATTAAAAACACATAATCAAATGACTTAGAAATTTAATCATTTTATATAAATATAAATAATTTACAAGGTAATTTATGAAACCTAAGTTAGGTAATGAATGGATAAGTGATTTACCACATTCTAACTTGATAAAAAAAAAAAAAACAAATGATCTCATTATCTAGCATATATGTAAAAGCTAAGAAGGTACCTTGTAAAAGTATGATATATTTTCAAATCATTTTTGCACTTTAATCATTGATATTTGCATTTTTTTCATATAATTCTTAGCCTTTTTAATTTTCTTCAATTTATTGTTGAATTGTGGTTTGTTTAAGTACTTAATCATTTCATATATTATATAAATTGAATAAATTATTATAATATTTGATTCGATGCTATTTTTTATTTATTTTGGATTTATAAAACAAAAATTATATCAAAATATTTGGCACGATGTACTTAATACCAAAATTTATAATTTTTATGTAGTTAATCTATTGCATATGTCATTAAATTCAAATTATTTATTTCTAATTAGTAACTTTTTATGTAGTTAGGTTACGCAAATAGTTTAAATGAATTATGTAAAATTTAACTTTGTTATAATTTAATGTCTAAAATTAAATACATTTGATAATATTTATTATCAATTATAATATATCCACTTAAATTTTTATCTTTTTAACAATTTCCTATTCTAATAGTAAAATTTTATCTAAGGTTAAAAAATTTAGAGAGGTAAATATAACAAGATTTTAATGGTGCTAGTGTTTAAGAAATAAATTATACACCCTATTGATCAAGTAAACAAATAAGAGAGAGAAGAAAATTTAAGAAACAAAATGATTTTCACCCTCTTTATATATATATATATATATGATAGACACATTGTTGCCACGTGGTTGTCATTGAGATCAACTGGTCATGTGTAATCCATGTGATAATGATATGTCTACTACAATCATATTTTGACGAGGGTTAACAAAAGTATTAAAATAAATAATTTTGATTAGATAAAAAAAATTGAACCATTGATTTATACAGGTACTAAAATAAGTAATGTATAATCATAGGATTAAAACAATTTTAAACAACATCACATTTACTTATTTATGGATCCCAAAAATAACATCTTATGCAGGAGGTTTGAAGTACATACCCATATTCCGATTTCTGATGGCAACATGGACAATTGACGCCCCGTACTCCATCAACACAATTTTTGGCCCCTCTGGGTTTGGATAATCGGAGGTCAAAACAATGTATTGCATCATGCACTCAACGAGCTCGTTATTTCCTACTTTAGCCGCCATATACAGAGGATACACATTATCTGAATTCAACAAACAGGAAACTTCAGGCGCAGCGTTGAACAGTAGCTTAGCCATCTGGTACTTACGGTTCTGTAAGGCCTGGTGTAACGCAGAGTTCCCCTTTATATTCCCGGATTTCAACCAAAGCCTAATATTCTCGGCCGTTAGTTGGTCGCTGGCTCGCTCTTGGATCAAGCACTGGACGGCAGACAAGTGGCCGGCTGCAGCGGCGACATGGAGAGGGTGGTCTCCGTTGGAGTTGACCCTCAAGTATAGAGCTGGGAAGCGGCCAAGGAGGTATTCCAGAAGTTGGGTGTGGTTCAACCTGGCAGCTATGTGAAGGACAGTATCTTCGCGGCCGGTCACTACCTGGTCTAGACAACTGATGAGGTGTGGATGTTGGTCTAAGACACCTTGGAAGTGACCGATTTCGCCCAACCGGGCTGCCTTGTAAATGGAGGGTGCCATGAAGTTGGCCATGCCATTACCCTGTGGGATGACTGGTTGCTGCAGCGTCCGGTACCTTTGTGCTTGAATTGACACATCATGACTCGTTTCAACTGTATTAGAATTAGGCAGACTTGTCGCAGCCATCCTCCTTGATTCTTAATTTTGCAAGAATTTCATCAGACAAGTAGTTCCTTGCCAATGCTTTTTTTTTTTTTTTTATAAGAGAAAGTCAACCTTATATTAATGCTCAAAAATATCAATTTAAGAGAGACTTAAACACACATTTGTACACAACTCACTTCCGCCTACTCCCCGCAAATATATTATATATTATATTCTTTGCAAGGCATTCTAAGCAAGAAGTTAATTTTTGTCCCAGGGAAGTTAATTCCTATCTGTGCAAAGGATTTTCTTTTTCTAAACCTTTCTTTTCTTATTTCCTTTATTTTTCATCTTGATAATGCCTGCAAATTTCATGTGTAAATTTGCTTTCTTTTCTTCTCTTGCTTAAAAATAACATTTTCAATTTATAGATTTTGTGAGTAATTCTCTCTCTTTTCAAAAAAGAAAAAAAAAAAGGAAAACATAATATTATTCTATCCTTCCACGCTCTACCTTCCCTTTGACTTTTGACAAAGGACACTTGCGCCTCCCCAGATTCCATTCATTTAGGAATGCACAAGGTAAGCACATTCTTTACCCTTACACTGACACAAGTGATTCTTTTTTAATTGGATTCAAGAAAAAATCAATCATATACAAATTTCTGAATGCCAAATTGTTTTGGAAATGAGTTATTGGGTAATTCAATTAGCTAAAAACTGTTTGCTATCCCAAGTCATAACCAAAACAACCCGTTTGGAAGGTTGTTCCTAGAATTGTTTTTGAGAAAATTTTCAAAACATAAACCTATTTTAGAAAACAACAAACAGTGAGTTTCAAATTTTATTAGCAACTATTTTCGCTCGGTAACAAAAATAATATAAAGAAAATAGAGAATTCTAGATTTTCTGTGTTTTTTTTTTTTTTGGAGGACACATAACACGAAATTTAGGAATAAAAAATAGAAAACAAATCCAAGCAGTTAAACAAAGTAATATCGTTTTGACTAGAAAATTGGAAAAATAAATTTCCAATTAAAACTTAATTGGGAATCTGGTTGGTTACCATGTCAATGAGCCTTCAACCCCTGATGAATTCGAGTTTCGTGATTTTCTGAAGGTATAGCCTTCATAAACCAAGCTGCTATGGCTACTTGGGAGTTAGTTGATTTAAATTTAAAGTTTCTACTAGAAAAATATTTGAACACTTGAATTATTCAACTCCCAGTCCTATCATAAACTGGATAAATTTCTTTGACATTATGTCAATTGGGCACCACCTCCTATATCTTGTAGGGACCAAGTTGGAATTTACCACTTCATTTAAATTAATCAAAATTAATTTTCGAAATTAAACTTGAAAACAGTATACAAATGTAGACCTAGACCTTGCAATCCAATGGGCACAAAATAATAAATAAGTAAATCATGAATGAGAGCGACTCTCAATCGTGACTTCTCTTATGTGGCGGTCTCCATTTGATGGGTAGGTGAGTGTGGCCTTGTTTGAAGAAGTTGGGTCCTTTGCCAACTGTCTCTCTTTCTCGTATGCAAACACGTAGGATTACAAATGTAATTGCACTCACAATTTTATAAATACTATAATATTGTTAAAAATCCACCGTTTAAGAATTAGGTTTGAAGTTAAATAAGGGTTATAGAAAAATAAGCAAGGTTTGAAACCACAGTTATGGTTAGATCAGTCATGGGTTCTCTTGTTTGGTCTATTAGTATCTTTCAATTATTATTATTACTATTTGGTCAGTTCCAGATAATAAGTTGGTACTCATTTGTTCTGGATTTTCCTCTCTCTCTTACTTCCTCCCATAGCCTTTTTATTTTTATTTTTTATTTTTATTTTTTGTTACACATTATAACAAAAAATATTTTTAATAATAATTATAATGTACATTAGTAGTAATTCTTATTACTGGTAAAAACTTTACTAGCAATTAAATTGTTGCCCATGTACCCAATATCACTAAAAGATTATAATAATAATTATACTTTTGATAGTAAAGACTTTATTTATTGACACTAAAGATTTTAATTTATAACTGTAATTATATAACAACAACTGTATTGTTGTTACAAATTTTAATTTATAACAACTACTATCATTGCTACTAAAAACCCAATGTATAATAACAATTATATATCGACAATTGTTATTACTATTATAAGTTCTAATTCATAACAACAATTGTTATTACTACTGCAAAGAAATAAAACAACTATAATAAATCTTTCTATATACAGGATTTTGGCTGATGTTAATTGGTGTTTAAGCATAAATAAATTGGTCATTATTTGTCAGTCGTGTTACTTGCTGTCATTTTATGAGTGTTTTAGTCATACATAGAATGAATATAAATATTAAATTTTATATCTCCTGCCTGCCTCACCAGCATGGCAATGTACTAATTTTTACAGAATTGCTGCATCAAT